AACCCTGTCATGGCCTAACGGCACAATCATTCCTGACTCACGTCAAACCCAATCATTCTGAAACGATGTAAGCATTAAATGCCTATCATGCCACGCAAGGAAGTTAAACTGCAGTCAGACCATACTAGGTAATCTGCAAACCAGTAGCCAAGCTCAATTGTAACCAGTGTAACATTGAATGAAGTCAATAAACCATTTTAAAATGTCAATGACTCACTTCTCACCATCTAGTGCTGACAGAATACTTTTCTCCACCGCTCAGTAGCGTAATAGACTGTGGGTGTTGGAAGAAAGATTTTCTTTGTTTTGGTTCACTGTGCTGCTGATAGCGCCAGTGGCTTCCTTTATTCCCCATCCTGCACTTCTTAGCCTTCGTGCTATTGAAGTGTTTACTCATCCTTTGCTTCGCCTTCGGGCCGTAAGCGCGTTGCTCTTCGTGAGCCCTGCTTCTCTCTGACATGCCCTCAATCTTAAAGGACATTTTGTCAGAATGGGAGGGGGGGTGTTTCTACACAGTCGAGCTCCTGGCTGAGGCCTACACGACCTTCCTATTGAACCTCGTGGAGTCCACAGCTGAGGAGAGGGCCGACCTGAGGGTTATCCCCTTCCTGTTGGTGGGGTACACTGCGTACTCCCGCTTCCAGAATGGTGACGACCCCCAGGCCGCCCTAACCTATCGCATGGCTTTGGCCATGTGTGGTGCCGGCTCGAACGCCCCTCCCCGCCCTAGAACTCCCCCGGCGCGCTGCTCTTCTCCACCCGTCCAGCCGCCACGGCCTGCAACACCACCGGCAGGCCCGTCAAGGTCTCTCTCGCCACAACCAGGGCGATCACGACCACGCTCCCCCTCTCCTCAACCTGGGCCATCCAAACGACCCAGGGAAGAGGATGATGAGGCAGAGGAGCAACCTACCTTGGAGGTGCTCCAAAGCCGCGAACGCCATCTCAGGCGTTTCAAGGTATCTTTCAGGGAGGAGGTCATGTTGGTCCGGGGTCTCGGAAACACCCTCCCCTCCGAGGCCCTTATGGAGGGCATGTTTGACACTGCATTGCAAAGACAGCGCGATGCCCTCCACGCCAAGGATGACGATCGAGCGATTGTAGAGATCAGAAATGGCGAACACGATGCGAACCCCATATGGTTCAGCATGAGACGTGTAGACCAACTCAATGGAAGGGTTATTTTGGACAAGGTCACCCGTGTATTGAATTCAAATCAGGAATTCATGGCCGATGGACAGTTAAGGATGTCCTACATACATGTCCCTACGCCACGAGCTGGTGGTCGCCGCACCAACATCGTAGCGAATGAATCTATGGCAGATTGGTTGGTGAGGAAGCAGGATCAAAAGTGTGTGTTTTCTCCGGATAATGTTGACAACATGTGTCTCACACGTAGCGTTGCTGTTGCTATGGCTAAACTTAGGGTCAGTAGATTTGCCTTTCGTCGGATGAAAAGTCCAGCATCAGGTATTCAGACGGAGAAGGCTGAGTCTCTCTGCACCCATGCAAATATAGACAAAACACAACGCTGTGGTATTGACGAGGTGCGCAAACTGCAAGATGCACTCCCTGACTTTAGGTTGTGCGTGTTCACTGACAAGGAGGGAAAAGAGTGCGTTTTCAAGGGTCCTTACGCTGTAGCTCGTAAAAACATCTACCTTCTTTGGCATGCTGAACATTTCGCAGCCATTTTCTACCCCGAGTCGGCATTCGATTACAAATTCATGTGCGAAAAATGTGTTGTCTTCTACAACAATGCGGGGGATCACAGATGTCCAGGGTCTTGTTGGCGATGTCTAGGCCCAGATGAACACACGGATGCTCTTAGGCGTTGTGACAGCTGCGGACATCAATTTGCAGGGGATGAGTGCTTTGAAAATCACAAAACACACAAACTCCCTCACTCACAATTCACAAAGTGTGACGCCTTCAAATTTTGTAATGGTTGTAAAAGGAGCTATTCACGATTAAGAGGCGGGCCTCATGTGTGTAATTTTGTGTATTGCAAATTCTGCAAGAACAACGTCCTGGAAAACCACCTCTGTTTCATGCAGAGATGGGAGGAAAAGGAAAAAAATGACAAATGGTCCTACCACACGGTGACGTATGACATCGAAACTTCCCAATGTGACCCAGTGGAGGGGCAACCTGACACACTCGAGCACAAGCCGATACTCCTAGTAAGTCAAACTGTGTGTGACGCGTGCGCACACATTCAGCAGGATGATTACTTTTGCACGCATTGTAAGACAAGACAACACATTTTCCACTGTCTTGATGATCCTAACATTAATGTTATGGGGCAGTTCCTCGATTATCTGCAGTCGTTTCCTGCTAAATCAGCTTTACTGCTTGTTGCTCATAATGCAAAAGCGTTCGATGCAATTTTTGCACTTCAGGAAATGATTGCTCGTAAACTAAAAGTAGATCTCACGTTACAGGGGGCGAAAATAATAAGCATGAAGGTGAAAACATGGAAATTTATTGATTCTCTTATGTTTCTCCCCATGCCTCTGAGCTCGATGCCAAAGGCGTTCGGACTGAATGAGTTAAAGAAAGGTTACTGGCCTTATCTAGCCTGTAAACCTGAGTATTTTCATTATGAGGGACCTTTACTTGATCAGTCGTACTACTGTGTATCGACGATGAAGTCAAAAGCGGCAGTCGACTTTCATACATGGTATGATCAACAAGTATCTGATGGGTATGTGTTCAACTTCAAAAAAGACCTTATAGATTACTGTATTTCTGATGTTACTATTTTGCGTCAGTCATGTCATGCTTTCCGTAAGCTCTTCGAACAGTGTGCGGGCTTTGACCCTATGTTCCATTGTATCACTTTGAGCAGCGCATGCATGTCCGCCTATCGACGGAACTTTCTACCTCCCAATAAGATAGGACTTGTTCCTGACGGTGGTTATCATGGTAGAGGTAAACAAAGTCATGCTGCTCTCAGATGGCTTGATTTTGAGGCCCATAAACTAGGAATGGTTATCAAAACTGTACATACAGATAGGGAAGTTTCAATTTTGGGACGCCGTGTTGACGGATATGTTGAAATCCCACACCCTGATGGTCGTATAGAGAAACGAGTGTACCAGTTTCACGGGTGTTACTGGCACCACTGCCCGCAACACTTCCCCACCTCAGATGACGACAAAGAGAACCGTCACGAACGTACACAAGCACTCACTGCTCTTTTTAGAGAACAAGGTTACATTGTAGTGGAAAAGTGGGAGTGTAAATTCAACGAAGAGTTGAAGACAGACCCCGAAACAATTGCATTTTTTGAGGCTCACCCCACAACAAGGTCCCCTCCTCTTTTGCTTAGAGATGCTCTTGTTGGGGGACGTACTAGTGCGATGCGCTGGTACCATAAGGCAAACCTTGAGAAGGGCGAGCGAATCAACATGGCAGATGTTGTATCGGAGTACCCTAATGCAAACCTTCGAGGAAAGTACCCCTACGGGCATCCCAAAATTTACCTGGAAGGTGACCCTGACATTCCTCCTGTTGAGGAGTGGAACGGCATGATCAAGTGTACGGTCCTCCCCCCACGTGATCTGTTTGTACCAGTTCTCCCGTACAAAGCTAGAGGGCGGCTGATGTTTCCTCTCTGTAGAACCTGTGTAGAGACGGGAAACAAAGAATCCTGTCATCATAATGACCCTAGTGATAGACAACTAACAAGCTCATGGTGTGCCCCAGAACTTTTACTTGCTCTGCAAGAAAAATCATATCAACTTGTCACTGTGCATGAAGTCCACCAATACCCAGGCACAATGGTCTATAATCCTGATACTGGTGAGGATGGTCTTCTATCGGGCTATGTCCGATGCTTCATGGCATTGAAAATGCAGGCAAGTTGGTGGCCACCTGAATGTGATTCAGAGAAAAAAAGTCTGAGTTTATAGAGGATATTCTTAAACATGATGGAGTCACACTCGACCCCACGAAAATGAAGAAGGATATGGCTCTTAGGACTTTCAGCAAGCTAATATGTAACAGCTTCTGGGGTAAGTTTGGAGAGAAAACTCTGAGACCTAAAACGGTCTTGATATATGATTATGCTCACTTGATGCCCCTTATAACAGACACTAGGAAGGAGATAACATCACTTGTCGCTCTGAGCGAAGAATGTCTTCAGGTGACATGGAAACCGGCAGAGGATACCGAGGAGACGCTTCCGACCTCTTCACTCCTACATGCTGCGTTTACCACATGTTTTGGAAGACTACAATTGTACAAATACTTGGATATAGTTAAGGAACGTGCCCTTTATTGTGATACCGATTCGGTGGCCTATATAAGCCGCCCCGGTGAACCTGACCTCCCCACCGGTAGTCACCTTGGTGACCTGACCGATCAGGTCGAGGAGGATTACGGCCCTGGGTCGTATATCATTGAGTTCGCGGCTGGGGGGCCTAAAAACTATGCGTACAAGGTGGCTGTGGGGGGCGATGTAGCGAACATCAAGGTGTGTATCAAGGTGAGGGGTATCACCATAAACAAGTCCTGTGATGATCTCATCACTTTTGAGAACCTCAAAGCTATGGTGATGGGGGAGCGGGACAAGATGGTGGTGCCCATTCCGCGCCAGATTGCCCGGTTGCCGACTTGGAGAATTGTGACTCGCCCCACGTCAAAAAGGTGGCAAGCCGTGAACACCAAGCGGCGCAGAGTTGGCGTAGAACACACTGTCCCACACGGTTACAATGCGTGGACTATGGCTCCTGAGGAGGACCAAGGCCTCCTTGAGGTCATGGACCTCCTTGGCGACGCCTAAGTCATTTTAATTGCGCAGGGGAGAGGCAGACAGGCCCCACTAGCGCAGGGGAGGTGCATGCAGGCCCCACCGGCGCAGGGGAGGAGCTGGTTAGGCCCCTATAAAAGAAACACCCACACTAAGTCGACCATCAGTCTTCGCGATGGATCTCAGGTTCCAACATCCCTGCACCGCCCTCGTGGTAGGTGGAACGGGAAGCGGGAAAACTTTTTTCATGAAACGTCTGATTGAAAATAGAGATGAGATGTTCAATACGAAATTTGAACAAATCATTTTTTTTTACTCTGAGTGGCAGTCACTTTACGATGAGCTGAAAGACAAAGTCGATTTCCGACAGGAACTCCCTTTGCCGGAAGACCACCCCTCGGGCCAAGGCCCAAAGCTTATTGTCATTGATGATTTTATGGATGAGATTAAGTCACACCATAAAGAAATCCTAAAATTTTTTCATTAAGGGTTCTCATCACAGAAACCTTAGCATTTATTTTCTGAGTCAATGTTTATTTCCTGACGGCCTTCGCCAGATAAGTTTGAACACACATTATATTGTTCTGTTTAAAACAAGCCGTGACTTGGCACAGATACGCACGTTTTGCATGCAAGTCGATCCTTCCCATTTTCGTGCTTTGCTAGAGGCTTATCACGACGCCACAAAGGCCGGGTTCACGTACATTATATTCGATTTCAAACCAAATCAGGCTGATCACTTGCGCACACGCACTCTCATTTTCCCTGGTGAGTCCACGGTCGTTTACATCCCAAAAGGGAAGTATAAAAGGGAGGCATTAGCACTAGTCTGAATCATTCGTTGACAATGGCTCCTGCCGTAAACACCCATAATAAGGCGTTGCTTAAGGTTCTGCAGTCAGCTAAACCTAATCTCCGTAAAGCGATTCTAAAGGAATCAGACAAAACGATCATCTACGCTATTTGTGAAATTTGTGACAATTTGCTCAGTGGAAATATCCCCCTTACTGCAAGTCAAAGGTCAAAACTCAAAAAATATCGCACCCAAATCAGACACCTAGCACAAAGGGGCAAAGGTATTAAAACTAAAAAGCAGGTACTCCTTCAAAAGGGAGGTACTTTTCTCCCCCTACTTCTTTCGACCGTCGCATCCGTGCTTCCTAGTCTTTTCAAATGAATCACACACATAAAATGGTGCTTGTGCCACACGAGAGTGTGGCTAAGCTAAATGACCCCACACCGTCTACTGCGCAAACTCAGTCGAGTTCACTCGATGCAGAGATGGAATTAATCATGCGTAAAAAATATGCTGATGATTCAGAAAAGTGGAAACATTACAGTCAGGCTTTAGAGCGTTATCTTTACTTCGTTAATGAAAAGAAAAAACCTGTCCAGATTTCAGTGGGTGATTTTTCAAAAGATGAAAGTGAGAGTGGAGGGGTGATGCGACAGCAGCTCGCAGCAGCTCTCCCGAAAACATATAAAGCGCCTGCACTGAGAATTTTTGACTATTTGAGCCAAACAGACTCACAAGTCAGTTGGGATTCTACAGGGACTGTGTCTATAAACGATCAAGCAGTGCCAAACTCCAATATTATTGATCTTATATCAGACCTTACACGATCAAGGAAAAACTTTGAACCTGTCGGAGTTTCTCATTTCATTAAGGCTCTCGCGGCTTTAAACATCCCGCTCGAACTCATATCAAACTCGACTCGTAGAACCGAAATTATTTCGGCTCGTAATCAAAGTGGTTTTGGAATAAGGCCTGTTAGAAGCGGTTCTGTCGTTAAAGCGATAGATAAAGTGAAAAAACCTAAAAATCAGATTAAAAAGCGGGCCAAGAAACAGATTAAAAAACGCGTCAAAAAACAAATAGGGAAAAATGGCTGGAAAACTTGGTAAAGTTTACCATGATCCTGCACACCCTGCTGCCTATAGTACAGCGTGGAAATTGTGGAACGCCACAGGTGAGAAAAAAGAAAAGACATCTGAGTTTCTGCAGGGGGAAGACGCGTACACACTGCACAAGCCTGCGAGGCGTCGTTTTCCCCGTAATGCGACTTATGCTGATAATATAGATGAGAGCTGGCAAACTGATTTGTCCGATTTTCAATCCATTAAAAAAGATAATAACGGCTTCACTTTTATTTTATGCGTAATTGATGTCTTTTCAAAATACGGTTGGGCTGTTCCTCTTAAAGATAAGTCAGGTCCCTCTATTGTAAAGGGTTTTGAATCTATTTTTAGAGGGACGAAGCGTAGACCAACATGCCTATTTTCTGATAAGGGAAAAGAATACATGAACAAAATTTTTCAAAAATTTCTGAAAGATAATGACATTGTGTACATTCACACACATAATCCCGACATTAAATGTTCCGTGGTGGAGCGCTGGCAGCGCACCATCAAGTCCAAACTGTTTAAGCGGTTTACTCACACTGGAAAATACAATTACGTGGATGGGCTGCTGTCTGATGTTGTGAGTGCATACAACCACACTTATCACCGTTCTATCAAAATGAGACCTGTGGATGTGACACCTGAGCGTGTTCTGGAGGTATATAATAACCTGTACCATGGACTTAACCCCACTAATAAGAAAACCAAGTTTAAAGTAGGTGACTATGTCCGAATCAGTCGGGAAAAACAAACCTTTGAAAAAGGGTACACGTGGAACTGGAGCGAGGAGATATTTCAGATCGTTCAGGTCATTCCTCATACGATGCCGGTGTACAGGTTGGAGGATCTCGATAAGGATGCGATTCAAGGCACGTTTTATGAGGCAGAGCTTCAGAAGGTCACCAAGCCCGAGGCGTTCAAAATAGCATATATAGTGCGTTCCAAAGGCAAAAAGGGTAGTCGTCAGCACTTTGTTCATTGGAGAGGTTATCCTGAAAAAAGTCGCTCCTGGATTTTGGATTCTGATTTAGTATAATGGATTTCTACGCTTTTTTACCGAGCAATGCAAGTCCGAAACTTTATCCAAACAACACCACATCCCATTTTAAAACGGAACTGGACCAACGCATGGAACTCCACGGCCGTTGGCAAGCCGCGCTCATTGAGTTACACTATCCTAACACAATAGCACAGGTCATGGAGGGTGAAAACATCATAAGTATTAAGAAAGGCAACTCGATCGATATGGTGTACATACCCCCTGGATGTTACAACACGATTCTTGATTTTCTGATCGTTGTTCGAATTGCTTTGACCGAAAGTGAGTTTGGCGCACGTGAAGGCCAATTTTTGCAAATCACCAATGACAATAGACTACGGTTTATTCCATACGATGCAGACGATGAATCGGAAATACACTTTTCCCCACGCCTAGCACTACAACT